GTTTGAATTTAGAACACTTTACCCTCTTATAGTTTAAATATAGTTAGAAATCAATGTGATTTTAGACTAAAATGTAATTGTTAATTTTGTTAACTACAAATATGAAATTACTATAATACCTTCAAGTCCTGCGTATTTTTAGTTATTTTCTTTCCCTCTCCTCTTTCATATACATTATTTATAATTCTTAACATTAATTCAATTAAATCATAATTAATCATAAATCTTAATTATTTATTATATTTCTTGATTTTTTAATCTAATTTTAATTTAATTATATTTAAGATCACAATTAATCTTATATCTTTATTTAATATTATAATTGCTAACATCTAAATCTAATTTCAATTTAATTATATTTTAGAACCATCATTAATTATTATTTATGTTATATTTTAATTTAATTATTTTAAAATCAAATTCTTAATTATATTTTTATTTTATTTTAATTAACAACTTAATCTAATTTTAGATTTCTGGTGAACGTTCCTCCACAAAATCATTATTATTAACCAAAGTGATTTAGAAATAGAAAAGGTTGAAGAACGCCTGCAAAATTGGAAATTACCTACCAAAGATATTGCCTGTCTTTATGATAAAAAATTTGAACTTAAACAAACCTACAAAATCAAAACTGTTGAACAAATATTACCTGTAACTCAAGCTATACAAGCTATTGTACTATATAAACTGAGTGATGCAATTTAGACACAAATTAAGGCTTGTAATTGTTTTTGATAACGTTTCATAGAAGCTTGTTCATTTCGGATTTGTCTTTTAATTGTAGCAATCCTTTGGCAATAATTAATAATAAATTGACCTGATGCTAGAGATAATAAGAGTCTGAGATTAGCTAGTTCTTCTTTTAATTCAGAGATATAAAGGATGCTATCATTAATCTCAATACGTAATTCAGAAATTAACAACATGACAAACAGACATTACTTATATTAGAAGTTTAGAACTAACAACATGATAAACATTATATATATTAAAACTAAACTGGAAATAGAATACAGAATAAAGAAAATTTACAAAAGATCACACTCGTGAAAGCAGATTGTACAAAGCGTCCAAGTGCTACACTTACTCTTTTACAAACACTCTCACAATAATCACACTACACGTAAAACTCCCACACAATTTACAATATGATAGCTCAATTCCGAAGGTTTGTCCATCCCAAGAGAAATGGCAGGCTTTTATAAAAGGTGAGACTCGGAATTGAAAGCCTTTGGATTCCGAAAAGATAAGAAGGAATCGTCCTTTGCTGTTGTTAGGTCCCTGTGTTGTCAAATCCGGAGACAAAACCTTGTGTTGATTCAAAACTAAGTTTTCGTGTTTTTGTACTGGCCGCTCGAGCGGAGACTCTTGAGCTCGAGCGTAGTTTAACAGGTCACAGTATTTTGACAGGGCAAGCACAGATACTGGTGGGTGCGATTTTACGCTCGAGCGGAAACTCCTACGCTCGAGCGCATCTCAGCTTATTCATATGCAGTTTTTGGTCAGTCCGCTCGAGCGGGCTGTTGTGAGCTCGAGCGGAGATCGCGGATCCAGTTCTCTATTTAAAGCTGCTAAGGGCGTTTTTGTGAAGGACGTTTTCCTAGATCTGATAAAAACAAACTAGGGTTGTGTTTAAAGTCTTCTTTGGAGATTTTTGATCGTTTTTCCTTGATGTTCTTAAGAGAGTTCTGAACTTATGCATTAAAATCAAGGAGGTTGCTTCTTAAGTTTCAAGTGAGTTCTCTTCGGTGGATTCCGAAGATCAAAGCGTAGGATCCAAAAGGCGTTTGAGTCTACGCAGTCGTTAATTCGACAAGTGAAGTTGTGGTGTGGAATCAACTTCAGAATCAATTCCGTGACGAAGGTGTGGTGAAAAGAGTTACAGAAGATTCAGAGACAAATTGACTAGGGTTGGGTAATTTGTATGATTTCTTTGTAATCTTTTCGTTCTTCAGTAGTGGATTGATAGTGGCGGTTCGCCCGTGGTTTTTGATTACAATTGAAGGTTCTTCAATTGTGGTTTTTTCCACGTAAAAAATCGTTTGTGTCAATTTATTGTTTATTCTCAAAAACAAACAAACTAAAATCACTCTCGTAAGTGTTTGATGATTTTAGGTTGAGTGTTTTGATTTTATTGGGTTTTGGAATTAGTTAATCTTGATCTAATCACAAATCACGTAGGATTTTCAATTGGTATCAGAGCAGGTCACTCTTTTTTTTTTTTTTAAAAAGGAGTGTGATCTTAATATATGACCATAACCACGGTACAGAACAGAGGTCACAGAGCAGGTGCAAGCGGTGATCACTTTGAGAAGTAGGAGAGAGTTAGAACC